GCGCTCCTCCCGCACCCCGGCCCTTCGCCGCCTCCTGCCCCTCTCTGCCTTTCCCCCCGTTTATTTTTCCCTTATATTCTGTTTCCTTCCTGCTCTCCTCCCCCCACCCGCGTCTTTCTTTTATTTTCTTTTTTCTTTTTATTTGTACAGAAAAAATGTTTTGATGTTCTTGTAATAATAATAAATAATAATAATAATAATAACGAGAGAGAAAAAAAGGTAACGGTTGCTTTACTTACCTTTTTTTTTTTTGAACGACTAGTTTATGAAACTAGTTTTAGACTGAACTTCTGTGTTTTATTGAGACTTTTTGTACAGTATTTATCATTCACCTGAGAGGCATAGAGCGTTTATTTGCAAGAGAGGAGAGATAGAATAAGAAAGAAAAAAAATGGTGAAAAGACAAAAAAAAAATCAATGATAATCTCAAGAGGTTCTAGGCGATACCAACTTTTATATCGCGCAGAACCACTACGTTTTCATTCACGGATCGCTTCTTGCAAAGGCTTTTTATTGCCTGATTAAGTCGATGGGGAAGCAGTTCTCATTTACTACTCATGTACTAAGACAAATCCAAAACCACACTTAAAAGTTTCTGTAAGTGTTCTCGCATTTTTGTTTTTATTTGTTTGTTGTTTTGTTTTATTTATTTTTTTGTGGCTGCAATGCTTTTTTTCCTGGGTTTTGTAAAAGTTTATTGTATTTGGATATTTTTATTTGTTTCTTTTCTCTTCGTTTTTGTTTCCTTTTTGTATGATTTCTTGTAAATGCATTGTGAAATAATTTTTATTTTAGACGTTACGAGGGAATTCAGATTGTGTATATAGTCTACTAAAAACTCTTTCTGATAAACAGAAATCCTAAGGATGCGTTCAATTTTGAGTTAAATAAATTTCAAAGCGGAAAAAGATAAAGTCACTTGTTATTTTTTTTTTTAGCAAACCCGGAAGCATCTAAATGCTTACCATGGTATTCCTGCAAATACAGCAGGTAAACATAGAAATCGGAGAGGGGTTGAAAACTAGGGCGAAAAAAAGAATGAAATACAATCCCATTATGTGACGATCTACATAATTCGGGAGGTACAATATGTAGATTTCTAGAATTATTTGATGCTCGTTCTGTATTGCTAAAAAAAAGCGGCTTACTGAATTACTTCTCTTAGTCTAATCAATTATTTTGTTCATTTTTTCGATAAAACTGAGTACCTAGTACTTGCATGGGGTCGCAACTGGGGAAAGTTTGCTTTTTGGGACGGGCTAGATGCTCTCGCAGGGTCTGGGGGCCCCTTTCGGCCCAGATTTCTGACGGGGATCCCTGCAGGCCTGAGGAAAAGCAGGCTCCCCGGGGGCCGCGAAGCCACAAGGTATCCTCCAATTAACACAATTAAAAGCGAAACTATTTGGTCTTGAGTGTCACGGAAGAAAAAAATCTCTAAACCAAAAATGCTAAAAGCGATCCCATCCTCTCCAAAATCCCACGGCGGGAGTGCGAAAGAACAGCGCCGAACATCGCGTAGCCCAACACATGTACTCACCTATCCCGCGTAAGTTGGCAAGGAAGTTTTAAGGACCGGTGTGGAAGCTGTCGAGCAAAAAAATAATACATGTTTGTTCAGTGCAGGATGTTGTTCCGTGCTTTGATCTATTTTTTTTCCTCAGCTGTTTTTCGATACCTTTCGATATTCTGAAATTAAAAGTTTGCTGTAAACTTGTAATAGTAATAACAACATTAGGCTCTGCATTTTGAAATCATGCTGTAGCAAATAAATTTTAGAATTAGTCGTAACATGCATAAGCAAAAGGGAAAAATATAGATTTTTTATATCCTTGGTGGAAACGTCGATCGCACCAGACTGTAGAGCTTTTCAAAATCTCTTTTAATGATGGCGAATGAGTACTTCATCCATGCAAATGTGGGAAGATGTTAGTTGGTTAATAGGGAGCATCTTCGGTCCATATTAGAGATTGCACTTTAATTACAATGGTAAGATGACAATTGGCATATGTAACTCCGAAGTCATTCTGATAATTTTATTTTAACCACTCATTCGTTAATGTAGTTACAAAATTTTCATGAAAAATGTCTACTGATTTATAACCAAGTAATAAAATTCTCTCTCTCTTTTTTTTCTTTTTCTTTTCTTTCTTTTTTTTTTTTAAGGGAACAAACAGAACAAAACCCTATTTGAGCACTCATTTAACAGATGTGTGTGCAGGTACAAGCAGTCAGCAGGCTAGTTATAGAAGTGCTTCGTGTATCAATGGCGTGCACACAAAGCAGGAACCTGTGAGAAATTCTCGGTAGTGCCGGTTCTCTCTGGTCAAACGTGATTCTATATTTAATTTAAAATATTAATAGGAGTACCTTTAAACCTGCATAATAATCTGAGCACCTGTTGATTTGTTTCTTGAAATGCGATATCCATCATGTGTATACTCATGCCTAGCTATGTCCACCATAGCCAACATCATGACCGAGAAGAGGTGTATATGTGCGTGTGCACACGCAGACGCATATTCATCTGATGCAACCTTGATACATGCCTTTTCTTTAAGGGTCATAGATGAAATTCGCATTTCTTGGCAAGAAAGAACAGAAAAATAAACAGCGAGATGGAACAGTGCTGCTGGACATAGATGATGTAATAAGCATATTGGGGAGGATAAGTGAGAAAAGGAAATAATCCTTCCGAGCAAACAAAAAATATTATGGGAAGCACTTGGGGGAGAAATAATACGGACCTCTAAACCACCTCCTTTCAACGAGTTTTTCTGCCTCCCCTTGCAATTTAGCGGCTCAATGGCGTTAGCCCTAGAATAATAGGAATACCTGCACTTTCAACGCAAGAGGATTAAGCTAACCCAATCTCGGCTATATTCAAACAAGCCTTGGATATTTTCAGCCTGTCTTCCAAAGGAATACAATCCCCCTTGCGAAAATTAAAAAAAAAAAAAGTAGAATTTATTGCTGCTTATGGTTTATTGGTTCGAAGTTTAGGTTGATTAAAGCATCATATTTGAGTATACAAACAAAGTTAAAATAACTTTGCTGTGCGGACAAGTTCAGATACAGTAAAATAATTTAGACTCGTGGCTCGTTGCTTTGCAGGTTATATATAAGAGAATAATTGAATATGCAAAACTAAGAATAGGTTTAAACGATTTATGGTTTAAGTACTTTGCATCTAAAATTGTATGAAATGTTCCTCCTATAACGTGATTGACAGAGCTATTAAAATCGCCTATGTGGAAGAATTAAAAAAAAATCATCTCGTTTCAGTAAAACGAAGGAAATCCAAGGACTAAGGAGAAGAGTAGAGGGGAGGAGTTGTCTGTCCTCCTTCTGAGTTAGGCTGCGGGTAGTGCGGGGGGCCTGGGGCCAGGGGTCCCCGGGGGCTGGATTGAACCCCTCCCTGGGACTCCGCAGTTTTTCCAGACGGGTCCCCCTCCCCTGGGAAGGGGTCGGGAAGAGTAGGATGGGAGGCTCGATCTGAGAACAGGTTTGATCCGCTTCAAACCTCAAGCCAAAATGCAAAGTTGGACTGAACTCCGCGATTCTTTTCCCAAAGATTCTCTCTCTTCCCCTCGTTCTTCTTCTTCTTTTTTTTTTTTCTTGATTTTTCTTTTTTTTTTTTTCCTGTTTTGTTTCTTTTTTCTTGTCGTGGCTTGCTCGCTGAGCTCGTAGGAGTGGCACTGGGCCTGGGGGAAAAATCTTTCCCTCCCTCCAGCTTCTCTCCTCCGCACCGCGCCTGGCCGGGGAGGACTAGAGAGGCACGTGATCTCTAGGGAGCAAAGTGGGGGTGAGGGCACAAAATTGCCCATGAATATATAGAAAAGAGGAACGCTTATTGAAATTTTCCCTTAAGAGGGGAAAGGGGGGAGGACGCGTCAAAAAAAGGCCCGGGAACGAAGCCCCCTGAGATGGTCCTTGGCTGGGCATCAGGGAGGACCCAGGGGGTGCCCTCCCAGGAGGGACCCCCCCTCCCTCCCAGGAGGTGCCACATCCAGGCAGCTTCAGCCCGGAGGCACCTGAACCACAAGCAGTTACAGCGAATTATTGCTCTGCATCATTTGTCCCCACACAGGGCACAGGGTGTGTGTGTGTGGGGGGGGGGGGGGGGGCGGGCTAAATGAAAAAAGCCGAGACCTCGCATCGCCCCAAACCAAACAAGCAGCTAATCCAAGCGGCG